ATTTGCCTGAAGCTATTTTTCCATCCCTTCACTTCAGTCTGTGTGAGTGCCTTCTAATGAGGTGGGTCTCTTGTAGACAGCAAATGTATGGGTCATGTTTTTTATCCATTCAGCCACTTGATGTCTTTTGTTTGGGCCATTTAGTCCATTTACGTTTAAAGTTATTATTGAAAGGTACTTGTTTTTAGCCATTTATATTTTTTTGTGGCTGTTTTCTTTCTGGGCTATTTATTTCTTCTTTTTACACCAGTCCCTTTAGCATTTCTTGCATTGCTGGCTTGGTGGTGATGAACTCCCTTAGCCTTTTTTTGTCTGTGAAGCTTCTTATTTCCCCTTCAATTTTGAATGATAGCCTTGCTGGGTAGAGTATTCTTGGATTCAGTCCTTTGCTTTGCATCACTTTGTAGATTTCCGTCCATTCTTTTCTGGCCTGATGTGTTTCTGTTGAGAAATCGTTTGATAATCTGATGGGGGATCCTTTGTATGTAACTCTCTGTTTCTCTCTTGCAGCCTTTAAGATTCTCTCTTTGTCTTGTACATTTGCCATCGTTATTATGACATGTCTTAGTGTGGGTCTTTTGGGGTTCATCTGGCCTGGGACTCTCTGTACTTGTGTAACTTTTTTCTTCCCCATATCTGGAAAGTTTTCTGTCATTATTTCTTCAAATAGATTTTCTAATCCTTGCTGCTCTTCTTGTCCTTCTTGCAGCCCTATGATGCGTGTGTTACTTTGTTTCATGTTGTCCTGAAGCTCCCTTAGGCTCTCCTCCTGTTTTTTAATTTTTTTCTCCAGTTGCTGTTCAGATTGAGCTTGTTTCTCTGCCTTATCTTCTAACTCACTAATTCGGTCCTCTGCTTCTTCTAGTCTGCTGTTGAAACTTTCCATGGTGTTTTTGATTTTAGCTATATCACTTTTCATTTCTTCCTAATTCTTGCATAGGTTGTTGATTTTCTCATCCATCCGGTGAATGAATTGTACAACCATTATTCTGAATTCTTTTTCTGTCATGTTGCATGCTTCAACTTCATTAATTTCTTTTCTTGGTGATTTCTCATTATCTTTCCTCTGGGTGTTGTGTCGTCTCTTCATTCTAATTATCTCCCGATGGTTCAAACGTCGAGTTGCATGGGCCTGGGCCGTGTGCAGTGGGAGCCTCCCACCACCCTAGTGTCACTGAAGAGCTCTGACACTAAGATGTGTGGTTGTTGTTGGTTGGTGGGAACCAGGCTCACTCTGAGTCAGTGTTGCCAGCGCTCAATGTGGCCTCGTACGTGCCCTTAGAATCAGGGACCCTGCCTGCACCCTGTTGAAAACCAGAGCCCCCTAGCATGCGCCAGGAGTCAGAGTTCCCCAAGAGACCAGTATCAGAGTCTCTGTTGCTTCACGCGACCTCGCCTTGAGAATCAGGGTCCCTGTGTGCCCTTGCACCAGGAATTGGATTCACTGGCTCTTAGTATGAATGCACAGGGAATCAGGATCTCAGGCGCAGGTAATAAGAAACACAGTCATGTCACTGGTGCTTGGTGCTGCCTCCTGCCCTGAGAAACGGGGTCCCTTGGCCTGTGCTACGTGGACAAATTCCTGTTCGCGCATTTGCTCCCAGCCCAGGGCTCTGAAGCCCACAGTGCACGTAGGATCAGTTCCTGGTGCGCCTGCATTTGGTTTGTTCCCAGCCCAGTGTTCCGAAGCCGCCAGTGCACAAAGGATCAGTTCCAAGGTGCTCGAGCACTTCCAGGCCAAAGTTCCTGCAGTGCTGAGGCCCGGCAAGGAGTGGGTCTATCAGTTAGTTACTCCTGGGCTGCCCGCGAGCCTGCGGGAAGGGGGGATGGGCGGGGGGGTGGGCTCTGTTACTCACAGATCTACCGCGCGCGGGGATCTCTGAACTTTTGGTGTCCACAGGTCTGTAGCTGTGGTCACAGGTCTCTGTCCCCAGTGGCTGCAGGGTCCTGGTATGCGTCTGAGATCAGACTGGGTGGTGCTGAGGCCAGGATCCTAGTCTCAAGCAGCTCTGTTTCCCAAGATGGCATGGTCTCTGTGCCTGTGCTGGCCGCCCAGGAGTGTCCACGCCGGGAGCGGGACTCCGCCGCCTAAGACTGCCCGGTTTAAAAGCCCCTTAGAAGACCTGCAGAATCTAACTGTCCCTAGCTCATACACACACACCACACACGTCCAAACACTCCTCTATCACTTCCTTGCCCTCTCACACTCTCTCCCTCCCTACCTTCCTGCTGGTCTCCATTTTCCTCTCCCAAGCAAAAGACCGCCATTTTTATTTTTGAAGGGTCAGTTGTGATGTCCTCTCTTTCATTCCTGACTAAATAATTTTTCTTTTCTCTTTTTTCTCATTCAATCTAAAGTTTTATCAATTTTTTTGACCTTTACAAAGAACAAACTTTTGATTTCATTGGTTTTTCTCAATTGTTTTTCAATTCTCTACTTTATTAATTTCTACTCTATTTCTTTCGGCTTCCTGGAACTGTTTCTTTTTCTAGTTTCTTACAATGAATGGTTCAGTTATTGCTTTGAAATCTTTCTGTTTTGTTAGTATATTTTTACTAACAAATATTTTTACTAACTATAAATTTTCCTCTAAACATAACTTTAGCTGCACTCCATGTTTTGGTATATTGTGTTTTTGTTTGCATTGTATCAAAATATTTTCTAATTTTTATAGAATTTTTTTACCCATTAGTTATTTGGAAGACTTATTTAGTTTCCACATTTTCAAATTTCCCAAATGTTTTCTGTTATTAATTTTGGTTTAACTATATTTTGATTGTAAACCAGATTTTGCATAATTTCAAACCTTTTAAATACAGTAGTCCTTACTTATCCATTCAGAAATATGTTTCAAGACTCGCCCCACACACACACACACACTGGATGCCTGAAACTATAGACAGTACCAAATCTTCTATATACTATGTTTTCCCCCCTTACGTATGCATACCTTTTAACTTAAAAGAAGCACTTTACAGCTTCTCTTTAGCATATCCACATTACCAGCATCACTACTTTTGCACTTTGTGATCATTATTAACTAAAATAAAGTTGATTTGAACACAAGAATTGTGTACCACAATTCTTATCACTAAGACAACTAGTAAGTGACTATCAGACAGGTAGCTTATATAACTTAGATAGTTAGATATGCTGAAAAAGGAATGATTCAAGTCCCAGGTATGAGCAGGGCAGCATGAGATTTTATCACATTATTCAGAAGACCACACAACTTAAAACTTATAAATTGTTTATTTCTTGAATTTTCCATTTAATATTTTCTGACAGTGGTTGACCTTGATAACAAATCATAGAAAGCAAACCACAGATCAGGGGAGAGTACTGCTTATTTGATGGAACAGAATGGGATCTATGCTGAAGAATGTTCTATGTACACTTGACAAGACTGTTTATTCTACCATTTTAGTGCAGTCACAGGAGGGCAAGTCATTAAATGAATAACAAAACAGTTGAGCTTGATGGAGAATATTCTTTTTCTAGTGCCCGTACTTTTGGAATTCCCACTCGGTGCTGTCCAGCGGACACACTTGCCGTGTTTTGAGCCAGCGAGAGATGCAGTGGAAGTGAAAAGCATGATTACAGACTCCCCATGCAACGGTGCACTCTTGAGAAGGGGCAGATGCCTGGTTCGCCTGACATTCTATGCAAAGATCCATAGCGTGGTTCCTGCAGATGGCACAGTTATCAACCTCAATGTCCCAGGACCAGAGGGCTACTGCTTTCCAGCTTTTCACTTCAAAGCGCTTCTTGCCCTTGCCGCTGTTGGTGCCGCTCGGGGTATCCACATCCTTCGCTGCCGCCATTCTGGAAACACTCGGTCTCAGGTTCCTGTTCAGGTGCCAGATGTTGGGGCCCAACCCCAGCAGGTCCAGGAGTCCCCTGTTTGGGCGGAGTCGGCGAAGAAGGAATGACACGGAGACAGTTTTCAGTTGATCAGCAGCCTAGTCAGGACCTCTAGCCAGGATCTCCAGCCAAGTTCTGGTTAGGATCTGATCAGAATCTGATGTTTATTGTGTTGTTACATCTGTATTTATACCAGTCAATTTTAATCCTGTCAATTTCTATTGCAAAGGTTAGGGCGTTTCTTATCTCCCTTCAGGGAGTAAAGACCTTCCAGGGAGTAAAGATTATGTAGCTGTTAATCTTGTTAAGAATGCCTAGTATAGCATGTGCCAGAGGGTAGGGGAGTCCGGGGGAAGGTCAATGGGGGGGGAAAAGGAGACATATGTACTACTATTTGTAATACTTTAAACATAAAATAAAATTTTAAAAAAAGAATGCCTAGTACAGTGATGGTGAACCTTTTGAGCTCGGCATGTCAGCATTTTGAAAAGCCCTAACTTTGGTGCCGTGTCACATATAGAAATTTTTTGATATTTGAAACCATAGTAAAACAAAGACTTATATTTTTGATATTTATTTTATATATTTAAATCCATTTAACAAAGAAAAATCAACCACAAAAATGAGTTCGCATTTCACCTCTGACACATGTGTCATAGGTTTGCCATCACTGGCCTAGTACATGATATGTCATTTTTTGCTGCTTTCATTATTTTCTCTTTTGATTTTTTTTTCATCAATTTGACTTATGATATGCTTATGTGTAGATCTCTTTGTGTTTCCTGAGCTTTTTGACTGTGTTGATGAATATTTTCCATCAGGTCTGATAAATGTTTGGTCATTATTTCATCATGTATTTTTTTCTGTCATTTATCTTTCTCTCATCCATTCAGGATTCCCATTATGTATAGACTAGAGGCCGAATGTAAGAAGATTTGTGCAAGAATAGGCCTTTCTTCCCCTGGTTGCTGGCACCGGCTTCCCTCCGGCACCCGGGACCCAGGCGTTCACTTTGGCTGCCGCCTCCTGCCTTCTCTCCAGGCGGGGGCCATCTTCCACCCGCTCTGGCCACTCTGTCACCACCTCCCATAGGCCGGCCCCTTGGCACTGCCTGGGGCCAGTGATGAAGGAAGCCAAGTGTCCTTCCCAAAGGAAACCAAGCATCCCGCCTGCTCTGGCCGGGTCTGTGGCTCTGGCTGGCACCACCATCTTTGTGGCTATGGGTGCTGCCATCTTTGTCATGGAGTGATGGTTAATTTGCATATTACCCTTTTATTAGTATAGATTTAGAGTTTTGCATAAATCTCTAAGACTCTGTTAATTGGTTCTTTTTTTGTAGGGTCCTCAGATTAGGTAAAATATACTGACCTTTTTGAGTTTCATGGCTTTCTTCTTCTGCCAGCTTAAGTCTGCTATTGTTTTTATTGTAATGTTTTTTCTGTTATTATATTTTTCAACTTCATGTTTCTATTAGTTCTTTCTCATAACGACTAACTCATTAATATTCTATAATTTAAGAGACATTATTGTCAGATTTTCCTTTAATTCTTAAGACATAGTTTCCTTTAGTTCTGTGAGTATATTTAAAACTAGAGGCCTGGTGCATGAAATTCATGTATGGGTAGGGTCCCTAGGCCTGGCCGGCAATCAGGGCCGATCTGTGGGGCAACTGGTAGGATGATCACGAGGCCCCTACTGGCACCCACCTTGGCTGGCCTGGGGCCTTCGGACTGGGGCCTGCGTTAAGCGTCTGCCCCCTGGTGGTCAGTGCGCATCATAGCGACTGGTCATTCCACTGGTCATTCCACTGTTTGGTCTATTTGCATATTAGGCTTTTATTATATAGGATGGCTGGCTTAAAGTCTTTGTCTGGTAAGTCCAACATTTAATGTCCTCGTGGAATTACTAGACAAAAACTTAATTTTTTGTTAAAAACTGGACTTTCAAAATAAGATATTATAACTATTATGGTATCAAATTTTCTCTGGCCACCCATCCACATTTTTTGTTGTTACTGCTCTTTTTCTTGTTACTGATTATTTGTTTAGTAACTTTCCTTGATTCTGTATTCCCCTGAGTGTGAGGCTTCTGAGTTCCCTGATAGCTTTATTTTAACTCTTATTTTTATTTTTAAATCTGACTTTGTGGGAGTCCCAACCGGTACAGTATAATTTAGTGGTCAGCAAATAGTTAGTCAGAAGGCTTCCTTAAATGATTTGCCTTTAAAATATCCATGCTTTGCCAAAGGGATCTCCATGAAAATGCAAGCCTTAAAACTTCAGGCAGTTTACAAGACAGTCCTAGCTTTGACTGCTTACTTGTTCTGGGCCTCAAGGTCAGGCACAGGTGAGTGAATAGTGCTTTCTGCTTTCCCAGGTCTTATCTGCATCTGCACATGTGCAGCCTTTCTGAAATATGTCTGAGCCCTTTGGAGTTTACTATGATTATCCAGTTCTCCAGGATTTCCCTTCTAAGTCCTCAGCCAGGTTCTTGCTTTCCCAATTGAAATCGCAACCTTAGACAACTGACATTTTGCCAACAGTTTGCTATTGTTTTAGTAATGTCCTCGGGCAGGCTTACCCCTGTACACACACACACACACACACACACACACACACACACACTCACACTCACTCACTGAGCTGAATACTGGTCAAATTAGATAATCAATACATTCTGAGAGGTTTTTTGCACAGTGTTTCATGTTTGGTAAAAGTATTGACTATGCCGTAGAAATGGTGCTTTAAAAAAAATCTCAAAAAGTAGTTAGATCTTTCTATTATCTGCATGCTGCCAACTTTTGGCCACCCCACTACTGAACTGGGGAGGGAGCGAAGAAGAAAATAGCTCCAACTTAAAATGTCACAGACCCCACTGCCTTACTGAGCTTCAATAGTTTCTCTTTGATAGAAAATTTTCAGCTTGTTCTATGGCTTTGATTATTGCTAGATTTCTCTTTTTTTAAGGGTAACCCTGGTTAACAAAATTATACAGGTTTCAGGTGCACAGTTCTGCAGAACATCAGCTGTACACTGTATTGTATGTTTACCAACCCAAGTCAAGTCTCCTTCCATCACCATTTATCCCCCTATACCGTCCTCCACCAACACCCCTCCCGCCACAGTCACCACACTCTACCAGGGGTCCTCAAACTACGGCCCACGGGCCACATGCAAATACAAATATTGTATTTGTTCCTGTTTTGTTTTTTTACTTCAAAATAAGATATGTGCAGTGTGCATAGGAATTTGTTCACAGTTTTTTTTTAAAACTATAGTCCGGCCCTCCAACGGTCTGAGGGACAGTGAACTGGCCCCCTGTTTAAAAAGTTTGAGGACCCCTGCTAGTCAGTGCCCTTGAGTTTTCTTTCTTCTTTCTTCCTTCTTTCTTTCTTTCTTTCTTTCTTTCTTTCTTTCTTTCTTTCTTTCTTTCTTTCTTTCTTTCTTTCTTTCTCCCTCCCTCCCTCTCTCCCTCCCTCCCTCCCTTCCTTCCTTCCTTCCTTCCTTCCTTCCTTTCTTTCTGTTTTTTTTTTTTTACTCAATCCCTCCACTTCACTCCCACCCAGCACCTCTCAACAGCTATTAGCTGCTCTCTATCCATGCTTGTATCTCCTTCAGTTTATTTCTTCAGTATCTTATAATTTTCTGAGTACAGGTCTTCTATATCCTTGGTTAAATTTCTTCCTAGGGATTTTATTCTTTTCGAAGCAATTGTGAATGGAATTGTTTTCTTAGTTTCCCTTTCTGATAGTTCATTTTTGGTGTACAAAAATGCAACTGATTTCTGGCTATTTATTTTGTACCCTGATGTTTTACTGAATTCATTTATCAGTTCTAGGAGTTTTTGGTGGAATCTTTATGGTTCTCTAGATACAGTATCATATTATCTACAAATAATGAAATTTTACTTCTTCCTTTCCAAATTGGATGCCTTTTTATTTTTTCTTCTTGTCTGATCTCTGTGGTGAGGATTTTCAGTACTATGTTGAGCAAGAATGGTGAAAGTAAACATTCCTGTCTTGTTCTCGATCTTAAGGGAAATGCTTTTAGTTTTCGCCCATGTTGAGGTATGTTTCCCCTATTCCCACTTTGCTAGAGTTTGTCATATATGACCTTTATTATGTTGAGGTATATTTCTTCTATTCCCACTTTGCTGAGAGTTTTTATCATAAATGGGTGCTGGATTTTGTCAAATACTTTTTCTGTATCTATTGATAAGATCATGTGGTTTTTTATCTTCATTTTGTTTATGTGGTGTATCACATTTATTGATTTGTGGATATTGTACCAACCTTGATTATTGCTAGATATCTACATTGATTTTGGTTTACTGACTTTAGTTGTTTTACCCATATTTGTGTTGCTATAGAGGTAAAGTGAGCTCACCAGGGTCTTTATTCTGCCATTCTAAAATTTTACTCTTTTTTTTTCTTCAAATGTTTGAAATGTCTGTCTTGTTATATTGGCTGACCAACTAAAGCAGATACTCCCTCTGGACTGTTTCTTTAATTCAAAGTGCAGGCCTGATACTTGCCATACCTTGTAAAGGGCCCTGTAGAAGAGGGTATAGAAATATCCAGAGATTTTTGCCAAGAATGTGTGTAAATACGTATCTATATATGTAGATAGATAAATAGGTAGGTATGCTTTCCTTTGTCCTAAAAAATGATTTAAAAGAATGACAATCTGTTTTTACCATGAGGGCTTCAGGTAACAAAATTGGCTGGAACTGATAGCAAACTTGGATCAAAATATTAAATGATTTTTTTAAAGACAGACAACTTATGAAGATAGTCATAAAGTAACTTTATTTTTGTCCCTTTTGTCCACTTTCCCTTTAATTGTATCAAATAATCTAGGAATTTTTTTCTGCCATTGGATGAAAATTCAGTTAACTTCTCTAGATACTTTATGGCAACAAAAATGCTTATTACCAGTTTGAGTCACAAACACTCTTTCATTTCAGTAATTAA